TATTGGAATTTTCTGATGAAAATGAGGGTCCGGACCTCTGATAGATCCACCCCTGCATGGGCCAAGCAGCTGTATTTTAAGTTATAAGCCATACAGTACAACAAATGCAATGATACATATAATAAACAAATTACTACACATGTTGATGATGTACAGTAGATAGACCTGTGGGTAATTATTGACGATAAACCCATCGACGATTTTCATAGAAAGTGAATTTTAAAAACGCCACAATTTCACTGTGTTTTGCAACAGACGCTGTCATAGTTTGGGAAAATGTGTTGAAATTGGGTTATTTATAAATTAAACCTAACCTAACCTAACCTAACCTAACCTTAGTTGATAAGAAACACAAGCAGCCAAAGAAACCTACCTAACATTACCTAACTTCCTAGCTGCCCCCGAGCATATTAAACAGAAAAAACTTACAATGATATGGTATAATTTTACGTTTTGTGTAGACGTGAGAAGCTGCTCAAACCGAGGAGCTCGTCAACAAACACCGAGTGGAGGATAAAATCGAGTGTGGATTGGGCCGCCTTACTGATTTATAACTGCGAAAGACAAAGTATTGTTGCCGGTGCGAGCCTAGGGGCCTAATTATTTACCAAACAGAGCATTTTCCCAAGAATTGAAAATCGCATTCAAACTCAGCAAAGAAAACATAGTATAAAATGATCCATCAAAACAAATTACGATGCGACGGTTATCTCGTTAATATTAACCTACCTGTGTAATGTACTTTCAAATTGAACTACCTGTACATGAAGTTACCACAGACACACACACACACTACACTACACTACACAACTGTATTTTGCTATCACTTCAGAATCAAATATGACAATTAACTAGTGATGATAGAAAGGTAGGAATTTTTAATAGGGTCACTTTCGTTCATTTCTGGGATGACATGATGCACTATATATTATAATACTGTGTGTATGTTTCAGGTAAGTGTGGTGAGCCTGGTGGTGCCCAGCCGGGTGCCTCATCCTCAGCTGCTTCTCATGCAAGATGCTGCCCGCGTCCTGTCAGACATGATCACCTACACACCACCCCAGCCTCCGCCCTCCCTGGTAAGTCCAACACACCACCCCAGCCTCCGCCCTCCCTGGTAAGTCCAACACACCACCCCAGCCTCCGCCCTCCCTGGTAAGTCCAACACACCACCCCCTCCCTCCCCCCACCAGGTTAATATTTAGTACTGTAGTTGCCAACACCTACTTACATATTGAGTCTTATAGAGGGGAAAAAATAAAAATAATTTGTTCTAATACATACAGCATTTTTGTTAAAAATTTATAGTTTTTGAGTAGTTTTCATTTTTATATGGCAACTACTATACTGTATACTGTACAATACTGTATTTAGCCCAACTACAGTGGGCAGGGCTTTGAAGTAGCGGGAAATATTTAGGTAAAATACTAAAAAGAACACCAAACAAACCTTTGAAAACCTTACCTAACCTATAAAAAGGTTAAGAATCACTTTCAAGTTTATGGGTCCCTCCTCTTTTGAACACCGAAAACAACACCATGACATACTAAACAGTAAAAACATAAATACTGATAAGGTAATTTTTTTTATAGTTTCAGGATTTTTACAAGTTGAAAGCTGAGGTGTTCTTTTTAGTATTTTACCCCACATTTTCTCTTTGAACAACCAATGTGGGTCAGGTAAATAATTGTTCCTCTCCATCCCCATAATAAGACTAAATATATGTAAGTAGTATTGTAGATGTTGGCAACTATTAAATATTACCCCAATATTGGGGTACTGTCTTACATATCATACAGTCATTCATACAAGTACAGTACCTGTACTGTATATATGCTCAACCATATGGAAGTGACTATAATTAGAACTCAAAAAGGCTGTTTACAGGACCATCCTGAAATGTCAATACGGTGTACATACAAAACCCTAGTCTCATATATAAAGTAAAACACTTTTATGTAAGGTTAGGTTATGTGCCTCTTTATGTCGCTTTGTCGGTCGGTAGAAAACTGTTGGGGTTTTGTCCGTTGGGGTTTTGTCATGGATTCGTCAATACAGAATGGCCCTGAATTCTGTATTGCCTTTTTGAGTTAGCTGCAGGACAGTCCTGTATACTGTAGCCTTGGCCCAACCACACACCCTGCAATCTTTATTCCCTCATACTACAGAAATAAGCTTCACATTAACCATCCCTCATACTAGTGAACTGCCTCACACACACACACACACACACACACACACACACACACACACACACACATCCGACACTATAACCTCTATAATCTGTCTCAATTTACCTTCATAACCTGTCTTGTTCACTGTAAATTGTAACCTTCATTTTGTACATCATGCACCTTCAGTGTGTATTGTGTGTATATCATGCACCTGTAGTGTGTATTGTGTGTATATCATGCACCTGTAGTGTGTATTGTGTGTATATCATGCACCTGTAGTGTGTATTGTGTGTATATCATGCACCTGTAGTGTGTATTGTGTGTATATCATGTACCTGTAGTGTGTATTGTGTGTATATCATGCACCTTCAGTGTGTATTGTGTGTATATCATGCACCTGTAGTGTGTATTGTGTGTATATCATGCACCTTCAGTGTGTATTGTGTGTATATCATGCACCTGTATTTATTGTGTGTATATCATGTACCTTAGTGTGTATTGTGTGTATATCATGCACCTGTAGTGTGTGTGTGTGTATATCATGCACCTGGTGTGTGTGTGTGTATATCATGCACCTGTAGTGTGTATTGTGTGTATATCATGTACCTGTAGTGTGTATTGTGTGTATATCATACCTGTAGTGTGTATTGTGTGTATATCATGCACCTGTAGTGTGTATTGTGTGTATATCATGCACCTGTAGTGTGTATTGTGTGTATATCATGCACCTGTAGTGTGTATTGTGTGTATATCATGCACCTGTAGTGTGTGTGTGTATATCATGTACCTGTAGTGTGTGTATTGTGTGTATATCATGCACCTGTAGTGTTGTGTGTGTATATCATGCCTGTAGTGTGTATTGTGTACATCATGCACCTTAGTGTGTATTGTGTGTATATCATGCACCTGTAGTGTGTATTGTGTGTATATCATGCACCTGTAGTGTGTATTGTGTGTATATCATGCACCTGTAGTGTGTATTGTGTGTATATCATGCACCTGTAGTGTGTATTGTGTGTATATCATGCACCTGTAGTGTGTATTGTGTGTATATCATGCACCTGTAGTGTGTATTGTGTGTATATCATGCACCTGTAGTGTGTATTGTGTGTATATCATGCACCTGTAGTGTGTATTGTGTGTATATCATGCACCTGTAGTGTGTATTGTGTGTATATCATGCACCTGTAGTGTGTATTGTGTGTATATCATGTACCTGTAGTGTGTATTGTGTGTATATCATGCACCTGTAGTGTATATTGTGTGTATATCATGCACCTGTAGTGTGTATTGTGTGTATATCATGCACCTGTAGTGTATATTGTGTGTATATCATGTACCTGTAGTGTGTATTGTGTGTATATCATGCACCTGTAGTGTGTATTGTGTGTATATCATGCACCTGTAGTGTGTATTGTGTGTATATCATGCACCTGTAGTGTGTATTGTGTGTATATCATGCACCTGTAGTGTGTATTTACTGGTCATTTGAGTGGTTGGTCTGTTCTTTGTTATTTTTGTTATGAACTTTATTGCCCAGTGTTGGTGCAGGAGTTCCTGGAGGAGCCTGTGACGTGTGGTAGGATCTCACTGGATAACACTCTTCTCACAAATGTCTTGGGCCAGGACTTGAACATAGTAATGTACAGGACTGTAATGAGAGATACTTGCATTACCACTGTACAGTTGTGGAAATGTGTTCCTACACACCTTGTGGTAACCCATGTCTCCAAAAGGCCAGCCTATATGACCTATAGCAAACCTATCCAACGATCACGTCTGGCGTTACATAACCAATACCCATTCATTCATAAATAGTGATTCTACTTCTGTGACGGTGCAGTTTGGAGACAAGGGTTACCACAGGGGGTGTAAGAACACTTTTCTGCAGCTGTGCCACCAACACATTCTTCATCTCCAAAATACAGAAACATTAGTTGTAGGCAGGTTAAAGATGCACGAGTTTAAGTTCCCTTCTGTATGTACAGTACACCAGGGACTCATCTGGGCATAAGCTGGAATTATTGGTAGTAAAAGTATTGATTTCCCTATGGGGTTCTGACTTACTCATGATACTGTAAACAGCATTGGGGGGAGGGTTAATGTGCTTGACTTTCCTGAGAAGTTTTAACTCATAAATGGTCAGCATTCCTCTGACCAGAAATAAATACAGTACAGTACAGTACAACTGATATAACTTTTTGTTTTAATTTGTTAGAATTATTATAATTACTGTATTGTTTATTTTAGTTTGTGTGTTTGTTTGTGAAAGTGCCTTAGAATACCAGGCTGACTAGTTGGTGAACTGACCACAGGCAAAGAGGATACGGTAAATGTCTTCAACTTCATCACTGTAACAACAATATTTCAATTATTCTTTGTGGTCTTATATTTGGCAAAACTGCATTTTGGAAAGATGTGTTAATGACCTTGTTTGACCTATCATTAATGTTCTAACGAGTGTGAGTCAATGTTGAGCCCCAGTGTTACTTAAGTCATCACTAACCTAACCTAAATCAGTGTTAATGCAGTTCACAACAGTAACGAGGAGTGAAACTTTCATCAATTTCTTAGCTAATTTTTTGTCCAAGTTTTACAAAGGTCAACAATGGCAGATCCCAAAATTTTCAGGCTAATACCAACCCACTGATTTATGTGCAGGTTGAATTTTCATTGTCAATAAATATCAATTATTGGTGAGTTTACTAACAGTTGATCTGTCAGCCATGCAAGGTATGGTCTTTGATGACGAGAGTTTATGTGTCAGCCAACCAGGGTACGTTCACCAGCAGTGGTAGTGAAAGCCCAGGAGGGTAGCGGGGCAGAGTGCGCGCTGGTGGTAGCATCTGTGTTGCTGGGTGCAGGGTACCATGCCCCGTTGTCCAGGGATCAGCACAACCCACACTTGTCGCCCGAGATACTTCTCACCTACCCTGCCCGTACCTCGAGCATCAGCAGGAGGCAAGTTGATTATGTATGAATACACTTATGGTTTAGCTATACTGGTTGACACATATACTGTACAAGAATGAACTGTTATCCACATATAAAATTAAATTTCTGCTGAAACGGTTAGTTGTACAGTACATAATTTAGGGCATTTTCCAGAATGACGCATTATTTCATCTCACAAACCCAGAAAAAATCCCCCATCCCCGGAATTTTCCAGTTACCGGAAATTTTTTTGCGAAATTTATGGAAAATAGACCCAATTTTCATCTCCCAAAACCGAAAATAAAAATATCCCATCCCTGGAATTTTCTGGGTACCAGGACAATTTTCTCAAAATTTTCCATTGAATGTGCTCCTTAGAAAATCGTTCCAAACCCGTAATTTTCTGGATAATTCTAAAAAAGTTCCAATTCCGGGTATCAAAGACTTCCGGTTAAGAGTGATTCCAGGTAACGGAGATATTACTGTATATATATGCTGTTCTGTGCATATCTTCTTTCATACATTAAATTATACCTTCTACGCATGTATGAAGTTAAATAGATTTCTAAATCACATAAACTTGTGGCAGGAGGGTGGAGAACAGGAAGAGGTGACGTCCTCCAAGTATAGTGTAAGGTCCCCACCCGACTTGAGGAGTCATTATGCTCTCATCATGGAAGAGCGAGCACGGCGCCGACGTGCTGCCCAGCTTCAGCAGCAGCAGCAACAGCAGGAAGGCGACATAGAGGACATACAAACCCTGGTAAGAGAATGCCCACTATTTTGCTATTTATGATACAGTATCCCAATCTACTGTAATTTGCACTAGTGATGCTGATATATTATGACCACTTCCCTGTTCGTGATGTTAACAAACTCGCATTAATGATATTTGTCATCCTGCCAAGCAGCATATGGAACACATCACTCACTTCATCTGTCAACTGAGGTATCATCTACCCAAACACTGCCTCGTGGTCATCTTGTGAACTACAGTCCAGGCATTGTTTCTTCTTGGTTACATGTGTGTAAGAAATGGAGCTCAATGTTTATCAGTCATCTTCGATGTTTTTTTTTTACCTAACAGCGAGAGGACATCACTTAAGTTCACATTGTACTTTAAGTGACTGTAAAGTGCTTTCGCTCTGATTCCCCACCCCGACAATGGGTGACCTGACATAGCATCAATAAGTCAGTAATATGAGACCACATCATGAGGAACACATCTCCATATATGTAATGGTACCAAATCCATTTTGTAACACAAATAGAGCAAATGTTGTGAATAAAAGTTTATAAACTTTTTTGCTAGCCATCAATATATTTGCTACTTAGCTTTCATCTTTATTCGAGACATTTTCAGACCAAGAGACCCAATAATTCCCTACCACACCTCCATTGCAACATTTCTTACGTTTTTCTTAAGAGAATTGACTCTCCATTATTGTTATCGTGTTTTTATGACTGGAGTGAGCAGTGTAACTCTGAAAATGTCTGGCAAGCATTTTGCTCATCATCTTCAAGGCCAGGACAGGCTACAACTCCAGTTACAACTCCCTAAAGTCTGTGTAGGACTCAGGTTGATGTCTCCACTCCACTTTAAAAAGAGTCCCCTCAGCCTCAAGGGGGATATGTGATGATGACTTGACTTGTTTTTAATGATGTGGTGAGTGTTGTTTTATATTATTGTAGTGCTAGTAGTATTCTAGGATTTTGTTTTTATCGGTGATATATTTGGGTGTCCGACTGGCCAGGAACATATCCCATTGAAGCCCATGTTATAATGAACCTGATATACGATATTTTGATTTGTAGTTGCAACAGATATATCCCTTGGGAAATGGAGACATATAATGAATCGTAAAACCAGCACTTGGTAAAACATCATGATTTCTTGGGTAGTGACAGTTTCGGAGATACTTTCTCCATCATCAGGAAATCTAAAACAAATGAAACCAAGAGTACGATGCATACAAAAAAATGCAGATAGGGTAATTAAAATCAAATCGAATAGAGACTGAACATAAATCAAAATAACTAGAACCAAGTGTATTGAAAAAGAAACAATAAAAAAAACAAATGAGCCCAATGTTATAAACCCATTGGTTTGTCACACACACACACAAAAAACACTATATCAGTTGACCTCTCATTGCTACACAGTGAGGGTTTGAGGTGAAGTAACAGACTAGCAGATCTCCATGCCCATATTCTGTGAGGTGACAACTGAAAATGACTGGTGGAATGCTCATGTGTCTTGCAGGAAGCGCGGGTCAACAGTTCGGGAGACTACACAGAAGCGCACCTTCACTTCTGGGTAGTGGTGTTGCCACCAGGTCGGGGGGTCACTACACCTACTTTCATTGAATCCACCACAGGCCAGGTGCTCTCATTGTCTTCTTCCCTAGCACTGCCATACCTTTACATCCACGCTTTGTTTAACCACACTAACTACTGGGCCTGCACCAAGTACAATCAAGCCATCTCTTGTGATATGGTAAGTTACAATCATGCACTGTTAAATATTCATAATTACTTAATTAACATTCATCAACTGTTTAGGCCTCCAGCAAGCTGTGCAGATAAGCAGTTCCTGGCATGCCTGGGCTAAGGGGCCAGATAAGTGATTATTTATGTCCATGTGCCCAGTACTTGCCTGGCAAACAAGATAATGTTTTGAGGTAACTATCTGGAGGGAAATTTGTCAGATGCTGTGTGGCCCCACATCCCCATACATGTTTAATCAGAGAGGTCAACAATGTACTGTACCAGGATTACTGACCTATGACAGGTGCAGGTAATTTACCTCTACATTAAGCTGCCAACCTGCCTCTAGTCAGTTGGTCAACTAGTCGAAATTTCAATGGAACCACTAAGCTGAAAGGCTGTAGAAGTTTTATTTTCATTGTCAGTCGACATCTGAAATATATTGTATTACAGTAATTTATAGGGTGTCCCCCATCAAGAATATATCTTCAGTTTTCTTTTTGCTCCATTCATTTCTGGAAAATGTCTCAAGAATATTCAATAGATTTGCTCCAAACTTGAAGCACTTCCTTGAATTTAGCCTACCAGGTGTGTCACAATATGAGTTCTTTTGAGAATTGTCAGCAACAACCTGGTGTTGGCCCATATCGAGTGGCTACCCATTGACTGGGGATCAATTTTATTTCAGGACATTGCCTCCACAAAACTTTGACAACCTTGTATAGACGCATACAGTATATTCATTGGTGCAGCACAGTTTGATATGGTGCTCCACAACACAGAGACCCCACACAAGGGGTTAATGTCACTGAGGGAATCATCAATAAGTCTCATTATATCCCAGAACAAATTTGCAGGACACCAGGAATTTGTTTCACATGACTGTATTCTTATCTGCCAGGTCCATGGCCCATCCTTAGTGACTTTGCAAGTGTTCTTCTAAAAACTTATGTGACTTTGGTAATGGTCATGATGCAATTATTTTAGCTATAGGATTAAGGGAGTTTAGAGATCTATCATTTTTTATGTTATAATTATATTCATCTGAGCACCAATATATCAAGTAACCCATCAAAAGACAATCAGTAAACTATGGATTGAAGCAAAATGTTTGTTGAATGTGTTATATTCAAGTAATAAATATACTTACAAGAGACCATATAGTTTGATCTGTCAGATAGAAGTGTGTGGATGCCTCTGATGGATGATGGTGTTGGGGCAGCCAAAGCCTCACAGGCACCACACCACCCCACTCATCAAGACAACAAAAATCAGAATAATCAACAATATAGCCATCATACGCCTCCATCACACAGCAGGGAGAAAGTTGGAGACTCTCAATACATCACCACTAGCTCCCTCATGGCTAGTGGCACCAAGCATGCCCTCAAGGTGCCCACCACCTGGGCCACACCCATCATCATCACAGAGGAAGGTGAGTGTGTCCATTTATCCACATATTCTTCCCATCGTTATTTTAATCTTATTATTTGTATTGTGGCACACCAATAACTCAGAATAATTGTGGCAGAAGATGGTTTTGACTTAAATGATTGACTGACTTAAAACAAATACAGTATAGTGCAGCATAGGTACTGGGGGTAATAAACGTGTTACTGTATTAATGATCTTCAGAATATTTGATATGAAAACAAAACACCCTCGGACCCTACCATGATATATCACCATTACTGTAGTTATGCATCTATATGGCTTATATCCTCATTACCACGGTCATTTATAATAAATAGTACCAGTGGTGTTGTGTGTGTGTTGACAGCACTGATAGAGAGGTTCCCAGGCGGGTGGCGGGAGGAAGTGTACAGTGGGGTGGTGGTGAGGCACTACTCCCCATTCTCCCACCCACGAGGTGCAACACTCATCTTCACATTCTTCTCCAAAAGTGGTGAGTAAATACTCACCTCCACATTCTATGTCAGCACTGGTTACTGATCATCCTCACATTTTACCTCAACACTGGTGACCACTCATTCTCACATGAGGCCAGGCTTCACGGTTCTTACTCTTTTGCAGGGGCACCATCATGCTGGTAAACATTGTAAAAATTCAGTAAATGATCTTGCAGTATCATCTTGTGACATTCAGAGGTCATCATCATGTTCTTATGGAGGTGCAATGCTGATATTCCTAGCAAAAGCAAACTGCTGATATAGGGGGAAATCAGTTGCTATCGATTTATTTTTTTAATTTAGTAATTACTTATCCAAGTTTTGTAAACCATTTATACGGGGTAAAATAATTAGTTTACTTATACTTTATTTCTTTATGTCTCTATTTAAATTTATCTTACTTGTCTTCTTATTTATTTTATCTTGTACAATACAGGTTGTATATATATTCTGATCTTTGGGCTTATCTGGGAAACCTTATGTTACTGTACAATCTTCAGTAACTTATTGTAATATGTTTTGTTAACTATAATCTGGGATCATTATCATTATTGCTATGTGGTGTACACCCATACCAGGGTCAGTGAAGGAGGTGTGGGAGAAGTACGAGCAGCGGGAGGATGGGCTAGTGAGTTGTCACCGACCTACTTCAAGGCACCATCGTGGAGACCTTTGCCAACACCAGGAAGGACACACTCAAACGTGAGTTGCTTAGTCTCAACAATTGCTTTTACTTTTTTTTTTTGACAAATTGGTGATTATAAAAAAGTAACAATAATGACAAGCTTATGTTATTCCTTTTTTATATGGGTAGTACAGTACAGTATAAAGTGTTGAGAATGTCAGACCCTTGTAAATAAAGACAGGGACACCTATAACTGTCTTCTTTTATGGTCTCATAAACTGAGTGCGAGATAGTGCTAAAATGTCTTTCCTTGTACAGTATATTTAAAAAAAGTGAAAATATTTATTCCATATAAAATACAGTGGGGTCTCATTTTGTGTGAGTATATCGTACTGGTATGCGTCTGCACATTGGACTCGCCAAACCATTACTCTAGAATGACATTGGGTAACAAACTTAACCTTCCAAAAATGACACATAATGTCACATAAACTGCATCTACATCATTAAATATTTTAAGGCAGCACAGGAAGTTAATTATGTGATACTATTCCACTGTCTTCATCAAATAGTGACGGTGTGGGAAGCTCTGGGAGATGATGGGGATCCAGGCAGGAGATGAAGGCTAGTCAGATATAAAGCCTTCAAAATCAACTGCAGACACTTGTTAAGTGACTTCATTTTCATCACCAATCTCCAGTGTTGGGGTCATTGTCACTTTTGGATTCTCCTTGATTTGTTGATGTGTGAAATAGGTAGCGATGAGAGCTTGGCGGTGACGTTAAAACTCCTGATAATGTTGCCTGTAGGGTCCCTCGCTCTACTCTGGTATTGCCACACCACCAACACTGATTTAGCTTGTCGTTTATGTTGAAGTCGTATTACAAATTATATATCCAATTTTTTCTATTATTTATGAAGAAACATGAACCACAAGAGGCTGATCATACAAAAATATAATATTGAATAAATAACAAACTCACAAATGCGGCACGGCCAGTCTCTCCCCCCCCCCCTTCATTTACGAAGGGAGGTGATGAACAAGAATAGGAAATAAGGCATGAGAAATCATGTAAGGAAATACAGTACAAGTAAAAAGAAAAAGAGAGAAAGAAATAGAGTAATTAAAGAATAAATAGAAACTAGAGTTAGGAAAGAAACATAATGTATGGGAAAAAGTAATTTTCTCCTTATCCTCTCATGTTACTGACCTGACCTTATGCAATCCTAATGCAATATCAGGTTCCCCTTTGTATATAAACTCTTCTCTCATTTGCGGTGAATATTGGGTGAGAGATTAGTGGTCTCATATGGAAACATATTACAGAGGTATACACTTCAATAATACATGTATTTATTAAGTTCTGATAAATATGCCACAATATTATTTACTAAGTGTTCAAGACAGATCTTGTGGTAAGCACCAACCCTCTTCAACAGTGACAACAATGGTGCTAGAGAGATGCTGAGTGCTGGCAACATTGTTAGGGAGAGCAGGTCAGCGGGAATGATCAACTGTTACCGCTCCGTAAACAAGAGAGGAATATCCTACAGTGCAGTAGCTCATCTGGGATTAAGTGTGGGAAAATTAATAATTTTTTGATTAGGTTTAATTAACCTGACACTAAATGAACATAAATAATATAGGAATTATAGGTGAAATTGCATTCAGTTATAAAGGGATCGAGGGCTGCCGAGCAAGAGGTGGCGAGTTGTTCTCTCTTTCTTCCTCCTTCACCTGCCAAGAGGTTTCACGAGGAATGTAATTTACAACATGAGAGCATATATTCATTTGGATTGATTAATTACCAAAATATATGTATAGTCCCAGAAGAAAGTTCTTGATACAGTCAAAGTGAAGGGTGTAAAGTCAGCCTCCACCCTTACTGGACAGCGGGTCTTTGTCAGTGATGCCAATTGTGA